CAGGAAGTGTTTCTCCAGCAAGGCGATCTCCAGGTGGCCTTTGATCTCGTTTAATCGATCGAACTCTGTCCGGTTAAGGTCCTGGACGCCCGCGGCCATGATGAGCGTACCCGGGCCGGCCTGGAAGGAAAACCCAAGTGCTCAGAGCAGTGGCCTCCAAGCACCCTGCGTCCACATCGCAGGCCCCCGCGGGCCCCCGAGGACCCCACATCTGGCAGGGCTGGGCCGGGAGCCCCCTCGCCCCCGGCCAGACCCCTGGAGACGAGGCAGGAGCAGGCTCTGCCTTAAACCCGCGCCAGTTCACCTGGCTTCGCCAGCCGGTGGAGGGGGCATCTCAGACAGCACCGGCGGGGCCAGGAATAAAGATGGTTGAAACCGGAAGTGTGACACCAGCCTCTTGGTGGTCACAGCGCTGCCCTCAGGCCGCAGAGGGAGGACGGCGCTGAGACCCACGCTGGCCGGCGTGCGCCCTCCCAGGAGCTGGAGCCACAGGACCCCAGGGAAGTGGGGGGCTGAGCGCCCGGCCGGCTGCGTGAAGGAGAGCTCAACGCTCCCCGAAGTGAGTGAACCCCAAACAGAGGCCTGGCCTGTGTCAGAGACGGCTACTGAAAATCCCAACGGGCCCAGGGCAGCCTCTGGTCACAGGCGACCACTGCCCACCCAGGGGCCTGGCACAGGCGGCCACTGGGCATCCTGCTGACCGGAGCAGCCAGGCCTGCCTGGGCACACTGAGAGCCGCCGGGCTCCCAGCGGACACTCCTGTGTCCCTCCATAACCGCAATCTGCCACCGACCTGGCGGGGAGCGGTCTCACGTGCCCTGCCGTGTGACAGGGGACCTGGCTCCACAGTCTTGGTGCCTGCAAACCCCCACGGCCCCTCTCCAGCCAAGTTGTGGGGCACGTGGCCTGGACAGGGTCCACCCCCGGTGACCGCTCCATACATAAGTCGCCTGCTCGGAGGCCACAGCCCTGGAAGAAAGAGCTGACACCAGGGTAAGACCCTCCCTTGTGGCTGCCCTGACCCGCACTTGACCTCTCAGCCTTCCAGGCGCTGTCTCCTGGGGCCTGAGTTCCCAGCGGGCAGGGCCAGGCCATGTTTACCTGCTGCCCCCTCAGGCCTGGTGGGGAGCACAGGGAAACTAGGGGAAGGCAGCGTAACTCTGCCTGCCCTGCCCCCGGGGAGGTGGCACAAGCTCGTCTGCAAACATCTGTCCCTCCCCTGCCCATGATGGCCGAGGGGCTGGCCCAGAAAGGCCACTCTGCACTGATTCGGAGGCAGATCACTCAACTGCGTTCCGGCCAGCCAGCTCCCCAGCAGAAGCAAGGCCACGCCCCGGCTTGCTCAGCCAAGTCCAAACGCAGTGCCCGTGTCTTCAGATGGCTGTGACTCGTGTCCATCTCGGGCCACTGCAGTTAAGTTCACCTAGAACTCGCTCAGAGCTTCAGGAACCCTCCGGGGGCCCCTGGCCTCACTGCTGGGAGCCCATTGGACGCCAGGGCCAGTGAGGACCACTCAGGGGAGCTGGCTGGCTCACAGGGGCCACTGACAGGGGTGGCAAGGCCGAGGGGTGCTCTGAAATCCTGGCATGGGAACCCCTCCGCGAGCCCCTTGTTCCCCCAGCTGACGCCTTCTCAGACTCCCCAGGAGCAGTGCTGAGCTGGCGGCCAGGGCCGGGGCGAGTGAGCCCACCGAGGCAGCCTGTGGCCGCCACACGACCAGGGAGGTGGCCCACGCCTCTCTTCCAGCTTCCCCGGCACCACGTCCTCAGCTCAACACCCCCTTCCATCTCCCGCCCCGGAGGTGTCTGCCCCTCCACCTCCCTGACCACGGGTCACTCCTGACAGTTCCCTCAATGCTAGGACTCTGGCCCTCTCTTCCTGGCCACCTCCCCTCACTGGCCTGTCACTGACCACTCAGACGACCCTGGCCTCAGGCTCCATCTTCATCTTCAGCGGCCCTCCCCACCGTGGCCACACTCTGGGCCTGGACATCACCCTCTCCCTGCACACCTGCCTCCTAGGCCCCTTGGGCCCGTCGGCCAGCCCAGGACCCCTCTACTGCCCCCCAGGGCTGGGGAGCAGGGGACTGAGTGTTTAACAGGGACAGAGTGTCAGTCTGGGTAGCTGAGAAAGTCCTGGATGGACAGTGGTGACGGCCGCATGATAATGTAAATGTACTTAATGCCACTGAACTGTGCACTTAAAAATGGCAGAAATGGGAAATGTCACGGTCTGCATCATTTACCACGATAGAAAAAGGGAACAAAACGATGAAGCCCTGACGCACGCGGCAGGGACCGACCGCACCGGTGCGGGGGGGGGCTCGCCCACAGGAGGGCGGCCTGGTACCAGGCAGATGACAGACACTGCCCGCCCAGCAGCCCCCCGGGGGTGACACAGGCCACGTGGCACGTGGCTCAGGGGACTGACGGACGCTGGGAGCCGGGTGCACCGAGCGTCCCCACGAGGAGAGGCTGCCCAGAGCGAGGGCACATCCCACGGTGGGACCCTGTGCCCAGCCACCCGCCCCGGAGGAACGAGCCCCACGAACGTCAGGAGGAAGCGCCGGGCCTGGCCACGCAGCCCGGGCTCCGTCCCCAGCCCGACCCGGACAGGGGCTGCCGGCCCTCAGGACAGACCCCGGCGGGAGGGGCTGCTGGCCTGCGTCGCCAGCCCACGGCGAGGGAAGCCCGGACGCCACGCCTGCAGACCCTCCGCCCACACTTGCGATGGCCGTGCTCCGGGTCGCGTCTGGTCTCCACGGAGACCACCGCTAGGGCGAGGAGGAGCCGCTGGCCCCGGCTGGACATGGCAGTCCCGCAGCGCCTTGCTGAGGGACCCCATCACACTCTCCCCCCGCCCCCCACACACACACGCTGAGCTCGGAACCACGTGTGGCGGTTCTCGCTCCCGAGAGGCCCATCCTCGCTCGGCCCGGAGACCCTCATCGGAGAACCACGGCCCCCGGCCCCCGCCTGCTTTCTGCGCTGCTCTGTGACGTGACCTGTGCTAGGACACACAGCAAATGGGACCTGGCCTGGGGGACCAGCCGCCGTCTCTGCCGGGGGACAGAGGCCAACGCCGGGCAGGGCGCGGCCCGCACCCCCCGCTCCGCAGAGCAGGCCCCTCCCGAGCGGCGGCCGGCCTCGGGAGGCAGCGCCGGTGAATTATTCATCCCTGCCGGGAGCTGCCGCACAGCGCTGCCTCTGATGAAGCATTAATGATGCAGGAAGCCGGGCGCCGAGCGCACACGCCATGTCCGCCATGTCCGTGGAGAAAACCTGGCTCAGGTGTGCGGGGAGGGAACCGGCCGCTGCCGCGTCTGCCGTCCCTGCCGGAGGTCACCCACAGTGCCGCGAGATGGGTCTGGGCTTCTCCACTGGGTGAGTCCGGCGATCACATCCGGCCAGAGAGGGGTCCACAGGGAGCAGTCCCCACCCCGACCCCGTGACGAAACAGAAGCTTCCAGAAGGCAGGGCCCCCTGGTGCCTGGCTCCCACGGCGGCCGCAGTGCCAAGCGGAAGTGCCCCTGGATATCTGCTCACCCCATTAGCAGCACCCCACCCACTGGCTCACAGGTCTCTGCATGGGCTGGTGAGGGCCTGCCAGTGGCCAGAGGTCAGGGGCACACACCCTGGCGTGGCCAGATGGACCAGCCAGCCACCCAGAACACCCCCGAGGAAGAAGAAACCTAGCTGCTGGACAAGCCCTTGGTGACGGAAAGGCTGTCTGATCCTAGATCTGGGGACGAGCCCCACCAGTGACGTGGTGACAGGTGACAGGAGGAGCAAGCCGTGCTTGTCCCCGACCAGCTGGGCAGGACGCATTCTGCCCATGGCCACGCTCGGCCCAACCACTTGGGGATGAGGAACCCCACGCCGAGAGCCCGGGCGCCTGAGGCCAAGTGGAGGGGACGCCGCACGGACACTCACGGGGTCCCGAAGCTCCTCGCTGTCGCGGGGCGAGGTCCGAGGCGTTCTCAGGGGGCCTTCGTCTCCGCACTCGGTGTCCGAGGCATTGGGAGACTCCGCTAGATCGAGGAAGTCATCTCTCCTGTGACCTCTGAACCTGATCCTGTCCAGCCTCCTGAGCATGTTCAGCACTGAGCTCCTCTGCTTTACCTTAACATGGCGGTCGGGGTCCCTGCAAGAGAAGAACGGAGGGCGTGGTCAGTCGGTCACCTGCCCAGAACAGGGTGCCCGCCAGGCGCGAGGACATGACCCTCCCGCACACGGCCCCAGGTCCACAGCCCAGGGCCATGTCCAGAGGCCGGGGCCGTGACCCAGCTCTGCCCTCAGGAAGTGCCCAATTCCAGGGCCCGATGGTCCCGCCCTGTCCCCACCAGGCTGGGCCCCCCCGTTACCCACCCCGGTGGGGCCAGCGGCCTAGTTCCCGCCACTGGCCACCCACCAACGCTGGCCAACCATGAGCCGCACAGGGCAAGGAAAGCCAAGACTCTCAGCGAGACCTTCCTGGCCATAAAGACGGGGCCAGCCTGGTGCACCGGTGGCTGGGGACCCTGGGGAGGGTGGGGGAAGGACACCGTGACCAACAGGGAAGGGGGGCCGACCACCTCTCAGAAGAACAAAGAACCGTCAGGAACATGGCCACAGTCCTGGGGGCAGGTGCCGGTGGCCCTGCTTCTGCACGTCCAGCCGACTCCACTCCCAAGCCCCCCTCCCAGCAGGGGCCACGCAGCCCCACTCCGGTCCCGGCCACACAGCTCGTGGCTGAGGCTGCCGGTCGGGGACGCCCACGCACGCAGCCCCGACTCCGGCGGGAGGCCCTGGTCTGTGCGGAGGGGCCTGTGCTCCCGCTGCCCATCCCCCTGAGCCTCAGCCCCCCTGAGACACAGGAAACACCACCAGTGAGACTGAAGCACCCCGAGAATCCCAGACGACGCATGCCGCGTCCTGACACGGGGCCGGGACCCCGGAAACAATGCGATCGTTCCTCACCAGGCGGGCAGGAAGCGGGGTGAGCAGCCCAGAGCCCATCGAGCCGGCCCTAACGGCCCCGTTGGGCTGTGTCACCGAGAATCGCAAAGGCGGGGAGGAGGGCTTCCTACTGTGCTCGGCGCGGGCACGGAGGCCCCCGAGGGCCATTAGGCACAGCCCGGGGGTGTCGCCTGCAGCCCTGACGTGTCCGCCCCCCACTCCGAGGCACCCGCTCCCCCTGGCATCACCGCTCACCGCAAGAAAAGCTGCCAACAGTGGGGCTCACAAGACCCCGGTCAGAATGTCCCAGGACTGGCTCTGCTCTGTGCCCACAGAGGCGGGCGGCGCGTCGGGGGAGGGGCTGCAGAAGTTCCTGAAACAGGTGCCTCTCGGGACTTCAGAGTGTCCTCTTGTGGCCTGGGCGCAAAACCACAGGAAACCACAGGAAAATGGCCCCTGGAGCCCGGGGCTGCTAAGCGCTGTGGGGGAGGGGCACGCGGCCGGCCACCAGCGAGGGGCTGTGAGCGCCGGACGTGAGCGCTGGACGGACTAAGAGGTTAAGCAAACTTAAGAAAGAAAGAAAGAAAAGGGAACGAGGGCTGACCGGGTCCCTAGAGAGAGGGTAACGGTGTATTTAAGAGACGAAAAAATAATCACAGAGTGAAGGCGGCAGAAACCGTGAGCACAGACACCTCTGAACCAGAGCTCCGCCCGCTGGGGTACATCCTGAGAGCAAATCCAGCAGGTGGACACAGCCTCGCTCCCACAGCGAGACGTGACACAACGGTGCTGAGAATCGCACGCACGCGCGCGCGCGCACACACACACACATGGACACACACACGCACACGGGGCAGGGAAGGGCACTCTGCACACCGTGCCTGGCAGGCTCAGGCAAGACGCCGCTTCCATGGGCGACAAAGGCAATTATAAGACGTTGCTGCCCCAAGGTCACCGGTACAGCAAACGGGTGTCTAAAAGGACCGAAGGTGACACAGGACCCTGTGTTACGGCTGTAGGCGCGTGGGTGGTTTGTAAGACCCCTCTCCGAACGCCTATAATGCTTTCTTATTGCTTTTTAAGATTGAAAAATAAATAAAAATAAAAAGTTAAGCCAGAGCGGGGAAACGCAGCCACGTGAAACCTACTTCCTTTCCACTTCAGGAAAACCGAGATTCCTCGGCACCTGGCGCCGGACAGGCCGGCCCCAAGGCCCCCGATCCCAGGACAGGGCACCTGGCTGACCCGCACCCCGAGGAAAGCAGTCACGTGCTTGTCTCAGCCCAGCCAAGCTTCCCTCCCTGCAGGCCTCTGGTTACGGGGCTCTCGCACCCCCCGAGGCTGGGCCGCCTTCCCTCCCAGTTCAGCTCCTGCGAGCAAACGAGGCGGCCATAGCAGGAGACGGGACAAAACGTGGGCGTGCGGCCCTGTCCCTATCAGCCCGTGACACACGCCCCGGCCCACACGCCCTTGGCGACTCGATGGGGTGCGTCCCTCCGGCCACCAGCTCACCCCGAGCCCGGGCTCCGCCTGCTGGCTGCTCACACGGCCCACACAGAGGAGTCCAAACACGCGGCCTGCCCCAGCGGGGGCTCATGGGGGGCCCGCTCCTGCCCTCGCCGCCCTGCTCCCCCAGACTCCTCGGGCTCCTCAAACACTTGAACGGTGCGTGCTGCAGTCAGATCGGGGGCAGGCACCACGGCATCCCGGCACCCCACCTCCCCCCCAGGACGGGCAAGCCTCAGTCACACCCCCACGCTGGACGGGGGCACGGCCCCCCACCCCGGGACCACCTCATCCCAATCACGCCTGCCAAGTCCTTGCTTCCGAGTAAGGTCACAGTCACGGGTTCTGGAGAACATGAATTTGGGGGTTACCGTTCAACCCAGCACACCCCCCAACTTTCCGATGAAAATGGAAGACCACCACAGACCACTGTCCCCCGAGAGGGCGAGGAGGGCTGGATCTCAGACCCCGACCGTGACCCAAGGAGAAGCTGTCCCCACGAGGCCAGCGTCGTGACAAGTCCGACCTGCACCTTCCGTTCTGGCTGCTGCTGCCAGGTGTCCTCCCACCCCAGCCCCCTGCTAGCCCCTCCTTCATCCAACCTCCACCCGCCCCTCAAGGGGGAGCAGCCCCTCAGAGTGGGGTCTGCCGCCCCCTGGCCCTGCAGCTCAGGGAGGGGGCAGCAACGCTGGGACACGCTCCCCAGGTGGCTCCCCACGCCCTGCTCAGAGCCAGGACGACATGCAGGGACGCTGTGACCGTGTGCCCGGGTGCAGGCAGGACAGCCCGGCGAGGGGGCGCTCGCCCAAAGCAGAGCCGCCTCTGCCATGTCCCCTCCTGCTACGGCCGCCTCTGCACGCGGACACGAAGCACGCTGCCCGGGAACCCGGTGAACGGCTTCCAGACACAAAGGCGGCAGTGTCTCAGGGACGCTGGGCTTAGAAGCCACGAGGGACTTTATTTCCTGTCCCAGCCCAAGGATTTAAAAAAAAAAAATCTGGTTCCTGGCCCCGGCGCTGGCCTCGTCCCAGCCGTCACCCCTCGACATGCAGCGCACGCTGCTCCTGGGCAAGCGTGCAGGGCGCCGGGCAGCGTCCGCCGGGGGTCCAAGGGCCTCCCGCTGGCCACGGGGCAGACCGCACCTGCTCCCCCACAGGAAGCAGCCTAAACCTCCGCTGAAACCACGGTCCTGGCGACTCACAGATGTCCAGTGAGAGTGGGCACCCCACCCCCAGCCCGTCCCAGCTGACCACGCAGGAAGAGGCCCCAACCCTGAGGTCCAGTGGTCTGGGGAGGCAGCTGCAGACCTCAAGGCTCTGCGGGTGGCCAGGAGGGCCCCGGAGGAGACACTAAGGCCCAGCCTCATCAACAGCCCGAAGGCCTGGCCGGTCCTGCAGGGCGCCATGCTGGGTGCCTACTGCGACCACGAGGCCCTCGTGACCGCTGACCCTATCCACTGCCCCACACCAGGCTCAGGATGTGGGCTCACACCTGGCGACTCACAGGTTCCCCCAAACTCGAGGCTTGTCCAGAGCCACCACCCTCACTCCGGGTTCCTGCCTCAGTCCTGACTGACTCCAAAGGCTCCTGGAGTCAGTATGGAGGTCCTGCCGAGTCCCAGCCCCGCACCCGCCTGCCTTCCCACCCCCGAGCCTGCGCCGCCTACCCACTGTCTGTTGGATGTCTCACTGGAGGCTCGCCTCTGCCCGGCTGCGCAGAGCTCCAACCTTAGCGCCCTCCCACTGGATGGCACCCGTACCAGCCAACTGCTCAGGCCTGTACCCTCGAAGGAGCCCTCGATCACGTGATCACACCATGGCCACCCAGAGCAAGCAAGGTCACCGAGGTCACCCAGCGGCAACCCAGGCCCCACGTCTGTGCTTCCCCGTCCCCACCCTGCCCCCGGCCCAGCGCCCAAGGAGCTCCTTCTCCACCTAGCAAGGAGCCGGGCCTGCGGCATCCGCCGAGACCCTCCCAGGGGTTCCCGGCCTCCCTCACCTTCAGTGCCAGCCCCGCCGACCCCTTGGGGGCCCTCATTTGTCCTGCAAGCAAATGAGGCCCAGCACCTCCAGTCCTGGGACATCTGCCACCTGGCTGCTCCTCCAAGTCCCCCCTACACTCCATGGTGCCGGCTGGTTTGGAGTCCTGGGGCTCCGCATGGAGCTGACGCCCTTGTCAGATCAGAACCTGTGCCCCAGCCTCACCCTGTTAGGACGCACGGCCCTGAGGGTGGCGGACTGTCAGGCAGACTCTGGATGCAGACGCCCAGCTGGCACGTGCTGGGTGTCACAAACCCTCGTCAGGGACTCAAGGACGGAGACGCAAAGGAGGGCCAGGCTGACCGGGCTCTGAGCACGCAGCAGAGCCAGGCCCCGAGGTCCCGCCAGCCACTGCTGTGGGAAGCTCTCTGCAGACCTCAGAGCAAAGGGCCGCCCGTGGGCTCTGCACACGGCCCCGAAATCCATGAGCGCCTCTGGAAAACATGTGCAAGGCCTCGACAGCCCGGGCTGTTTCTCCGGGAGGCGGCCTGAGCTTCTTCCCTGGGGGAAGCCCCTCCAGGGCCTTTTGGCCTACAAAGGTCAGGCCACAATGCCCTTATGCGTCTGCACTGTCAGGGGACAGCCACCGAGTGGGCTGGGCAGACAGAGGGCACACCCTGGAGAACGGACGCCAGCTCGCGGACCCCAGCGATGGCCAAGG